GGTTCTCAAGGTTCTAACCTCAGGGTTCAAGAATGAACCTCCTTTTTCCACTAGTAATCATCGGGGTGAGGGCCATTTAAACATTTCGAACAAAAAAACAAAAAAGAATTCTTCCCTCCGTTCTAGAATCTTTGAAATTTTTCGATACACATAAAAAGAAAGAGCGGAGAAATTAAAACTTGCGGTCGATTACATATGAGAAAGGTACTCCTGGCGTATGGTATTAAATAAGCTGAGAAATGAAATTCGAATTAAGAAATCGGAAACTGAATAACTTCATTTTTTGCATTAAGTATTCCAATTTTTCACTAAAAAGGTCTCTTTTTTTATTTCACCTTCGTCATTTGCATTAATATTATTTGATTTTGAATAACAAATATAGTAAAAGTATTAGAATTCAATGAATAGTAAATATTTTCTTTATATTTTTTCAATGAATGAGTACAAAACTATTGTTTCAATTCTATTTATTTTGTAACATATGAATATAAAACATATGAATACAGCATATAAACATAAGATATGAATATAAAACATTGAAAATGAGTGTTATAAACTAGACATCAGTAAATGTAGTCTCTTGTCGGATATAAAGTATTATCATAAAAACTAAGGTATATCGCTTGTTTTATAATTTTATTTTATAGCCGTCGTTGAACAGCCGACCCAATTTTGGGTTTACGACTACTTATGTTCAACTCCGCAGCCTTGTAATTTGAACGCTATCCAGAAGACAAGGAAACTACTGGATTAAGTATTGAGAGAGATTTCCCTTCGTGGAGGACTTTCTGATGGAACTAACCCGCATTTGCGGTACATGGAGAAGAAAACCTTGAAAACCTCTCATGGTTAGTTTCAGGGCAAGGAGACTCTAGCCCATGATTCGCCTACCACTGAGGATATTTTACGTCAGCACTGTGCAAGCTGGATGCGTAATTCGTATCGACCAGTCGTCGCTGAGGTTTGAACCCGGTTCACCTCATTGGAAAGTGAACGCTCTGTCCCCTGAACCATCAAGTTTCTTGTTTTATCATTAGCAAAAGTAGACAAATCCAGGGATCAAACCCTGGAAACTCCCTTTAGATCTGCAACCGGACACCCTAACCAATTGCGCCATGCCCTCTCGCTCAGCAAAGAAAACTTTATTAACAATATGTTATTTAAGTGGGCAGAAATAAGCAGCCAAAGAGTTTTACACGCCAATTTCCATAATATTAACTTTTGCAGACACAACAATAAAATAATTGAAGGATTTTCATTTTTAAAAAAAACCAACATATAAGTGGGGTTTTTTTTCCGGCAATATTTTTGACAAACTGTTTTAATTCATTTTTCCTGTACTTTCATTAAAACGTAAATGAAAGAAAAAATAGAGCAAAATCGGTTTATTTGTAAGAATAATTTGCTTTTAACTTCCCATTTCTGCCCAACTCATTGTTCAGATTATCAATTCTAAATTGAGAATGCTAGGAATGAAATCTCATCAGTTTGATAGATTCTCGGGTGTGTTTAATGATTGAAACCACATTCTCATATGCATATATGCATCACAAATTCATCTAGTATATATATATATATATATATATACGCTNATATTATGCTAGGATTATTTATATGATAAATAAATTATCAAATGAGTTTTTTGATAGATAAGTACTAATAATAATCATTTGAAAGATATAGAGAATTATAATGAATAATCATGCAAAAGAGTTTAAATGCCAGTAAAAATTAATTACTTCAGTGAGTTTAGCATTCTGTATCTATTGTGTATGAAAAAATAATGCAGAATAGATTCATAAGCATTTCATTCTTTGAGTATTCATTCATTCGTAAGTACCATTCGTAGTAATCATTCAAATAAACATTTCATCCGTAAACAATTCACCGAGTATGCTAATAAAACTAAACTTTAAACTGGAATTGGCACAAAATCTTTTTTTTAAAAAAATCATAAAATTCGCTGAAGATACATTCTAACATATTTATAAATTACCGTAAATAAACGTAAATCAAATGCAATAGAAAACTTCAATACGTTGTCAACGGTTAGCTAAAAAGGATTCGACACAGATAATTCTCGATACACAACAATGGGAATTCGTATTTCCATTTCCGCAACAAACTAGATATCTGATTATGCCTGAACAATAATTTCGAATTCAAAAGGGCATTTTTGGAAGACAGCCGAAGTTTTATTTCGATGAAAAAGGTACTAGAATTTTCTATGAAAGGGAAGAAGGGTAAGGAGAAAAAAAAAAGAGAGAGAATGGCAGCATGTACTACAGAACTTGCAGTTAGTTTTCAACTAACAATAATCCCTAACATGCTGACAAAACGAGAAGGATTTTCCCCCACTAGTCATCACTTCCCCATTATTCTGTGGCTTTTTCCCTTTCAAACGTCCATTGAAATCCTAATTGATGACAAAGGTATCAAGTCAACCAAAGAAAGAGGCAAGAAAATGTTCGTCCCATTTGCTTCAAGAACTCAATTACAAGAAGAAAGAGTTGGCAGTGGCTGAAATTTTCATTGAGTATGCATAAATCGAGGCCAATGACAACAAAAGAAAAGTACTTCATGCCACTGCTGGTGGTAAAACGGGAACTTGCCCCGTTATAAGTACCTTCAGAAACAACAACTAGATGGTCTGAAAAATAAGAAATGTTCCAAGATCACCCTCTGACAATGGGCATAAAAGAAAATTTCCTCTTCCCACCCAAAAGATGGGTCCGACTTTTGTTGCGTTTTGTTGGACGCCGAGTCACCCAACAAAAGGACGAAACAATCGCTTGCAACTGGGCGCCCCCCCCCCCCATTGAAATACTAGAATTATTGATAACCTCGCCTCCAGACGCGTAGACCAGCTTCTTAAAGAATAAATGATGTCTCTAGGACCCATCTAAGAATATTCTTTTTCTCTTTTCCGAATCTGAGAATGTGTGTGTGCTCGCTCCTCTTATTCGAACACTCGAATCTCGTTATGGCCTATTAATAACATACAACAATAACTTTGCAACTCCTTTTCTTGAGTTAGTTTTTTTATTTCCTCGGGTTCGGCGAATAGTGACGCCTAAGCAGTGATTACACACACCCTGAGTTCTTTTTATTTATTTATTTAAAAAAAAAAAAAAAAAAAAGAATAAATGTTTTAAAGCTTCGGAATTTCGCGATAAGGAAGGACAATAGATGTTATAATTTTTTCCCCCAGCATTTCCCTCGTCATTCATTTTTTAACATAAAGCAACCCATTTTTTTGAAGTAAATTATTGTGAACTATCTATAAGCAAGAAAGGTATTCACACTATAATGTTCTCACATTAATTTACTAAGTTATTCAAATCACTATTAGAAAAATACATTATATTATACGCCATTAGACGGGAAGTCTTTTCAGGAGAAATTTGTGTCCATTAACGTATCCTTCACAAATCATTAAAGTGATTTTGCAAAGCGTTACGGTTTTCTTTAACGCTGCTTGAGGTTCACAGCGCACGTGCGAACATTTTCCAACAAATCGCAGTATCGGAAAATAAAGAGTAAAAACTAAGGTTAATATAAAAATGTGGCGTAACTACCACTACAATTATTAAAAATCAATTCACTAGTATATAAGACATGCTAATTCGATTCAATCTAGAGGCACCTTTATTTAGATGAAGGTTGACATTGTGGAAAGACTCTTTCCCCACATAAAAAAAAGAAAATCTCTCTATTTCATCTAAAGAAAATCGAAAAAATTCATCTAAGAAAAGCCCAACGTCGTCCAATATGTTTTCTGAGTATCAGAAGGACAGTGATAGTGTTCATTAACGTATCCTTTACAAGTCATAAGAGAGATTTTGCAAAACGTTTTATGATTTCCTTTGAAGCTCTCACAGCGCATGTGCGAAAATTTCCAAAGAAATCGCAATATCGATAATAAGGAGTAAAACCTAAGGTTAATATACGACAAACATCATGGAAAATCTCACTTTTCATCTAAAAAATAGGACAATCCCAATGCACTCCAATATATTTGATGCTGAACATCAGAAGGACAGAAGTAGTTGAATTTTAACGTTTCTTAAAAGTAAATTTAAAACCACATCGATTTACACTTTTTCTCTATTTTTTGAACTTTGTTAACAAGATAGAAATAAAATGTTCTTTTTTTTCTTCTTTTTTAATCGAAAATCCGGGTCTCAGATCCCAAATTTATTCCTTAGCAACAACAGCTATGTTCCTAACTGAAATAAAAATTAAAAAAAAACGTTTCTGTAATGAGTAGAAATATGCTATTCGATTCAAATTCGCCGTCGCAATAGTTTTAAGAGTTCTTTAGATAAAAAAATAAAATAAAATAAAATAAATAATAAAAAAAAAAGAATTCTATTCGATCTAAATTTATTCTCGATTCTTTTAGGAGAAGATATCGAACGCTTAAAACTAAAATTTAAAGTAATTAAATTGTCAGAAAACAGTAGAAATTCATTTCGCTTTTTTTTTTTTCCTTCACTATTTTATTTTTTCTTCTAGGTTTTTGTTACAGCAACTATGTGGAATTAATGCCAAAAGTAGTATTTTTATTCAATGAAGAAAAAAAAAAGGTTTAAGTTAAATTATATAAATCATATGATGAATTTAAATTCCTTCAACAGGTTGTCGGTAAAATCGTATTTGAAACCTGCACTAATGTAACTAACTGGTAAAAAATAAATTGTTTCTTAAACATTTTGGATCGTAAAATTATAGTTTTTCGTATAGTAAAATCGATACAATGTTACGGAGTAAGTTCGGTCACATAACATGGTAATAAATCGCTATATCTCTTTACCCATAAACTAGACCAAAAGCGTTACTATCGGATCTGATCTGATCATAGTCAATGAAGAATAATAGTCGGTACTCAAAAACGTTAGTATCTATTTAGAATGAAGGAACACTTTTAGTTCATTTTCTAAATCGGTTTTAACTAGAAAGATATACTATAACACATAGACATAATGTAAATAACTCACCCTATAAAAACTTACAACTAGAACTTCCATTTAAATTGTTTTCTTACCTGAAAAACAAAACGAAGAAAGCATATTAATACACAATACTGAATTTAAAAATATATTTATCATTAGAACATGTGTCAAATTTTAATAATTTATAGACTTAAACATAATTTAAACAATATTAATGATTATTTGAGGACATAATTTTCAATAATATTATGCAATCACTCATCTTGGTAGTTGTTGTTGTTGTTCATTTACGTCGCACTAGAGCTGCACAATGGGCTATTGGCGACGGTCTGGGAAACATCCCTGAGGATGATCCGAAGACATGCCATCGCAATTTTGATCCTCTGCAGAGGGGATGGCACCCCCGCTTCGGTAGCCCGACGCATCCTGGAATGTTTCTTTCAACAAAATCGAATCTTATGTAGGAGTTTTAAAAAACGATTACGTGAATAGGAACAACGACAATGATCGTATTAAGTAAATTGATAATCACGTGAATACGAATCGTGATGTGTAGTTCGTTAAACGCGTGAATACGAATCACGATGTGTGTGATTTGTAAATCCCGTTAATATCAATCGCCATGCAAGGTACGCCAACCTAGGTGATTCCAAATACGATTCTTAAATTGCGAACTATGGTTTCTAAATCGTGAGTAGAGCTATATAAGTAGTAAAACTACTGTAGTCGCTACTTTTTTTCGTAGTTTGTAGTGTAGTGTGTTAAATTTTTAAAAAAGTAGTGTACAAACTGGTTCATGTAAACATGAATAAATAATTCTTAATTATTCCCTTATATTTTATGTAAATCAATTTCTTATTCAAATCCACTTTGAACATAAGTGTAAATTAAGTTCCCCAGCAAAGTTCGTCTCTTTAAAATAGTGAAGTTGTAACTAAATTCCAAAGTAGTTTGTAATCACTACATTTAAAAAAAAAAAAGTAGTTGTAATTAAGTACATTTATAACAAAGTAGTTGTCGCTGAAGTAAACTACAAAAATAATGTTCCAACCACTGTCGTGGAATAACCGTTACAATTGATTTTCGCGAATTTCAAGAATAAAATTTATAAAATTCCGTGAATTAGCGGAAAATTCACATGTATGTAATTACAAACAATTTAGCTATTACTTCCTAGGAATGCTACTTTCAACAAAATCAATGCTTGCATAAGTCGAACTTTTAATCAACATCCCCTTAACTCACTCAATAAAATGATGGATGTGAGTTGCCGGTGACCCTCCCCCCCTTTCCCCTTTCAAGGGGGCCCGGCGAGGGTCATTAACTTTGCTGAAGGAATAGCCGTCCGCTTATGCTAATTTTCAATCCGGCCGAAAAGAGGGAAAATTCTGGCCGGCAAGGTAGCCAACAATATCCTAGATTCTGGTATCCGGCACTCGGTCACGCTTCACTGTCATTTATAACGCACGCCCGATTAGGCGTAACCGCCGACACAAAGGGAAAAGCGCACCAATTATCTACGTGCATTTTCCCTGCGCTTTTCCCTTTTCTCACAGTCGGTGTTGATGAGATGGGTATCATCATTAATGGACGATTCTGGCAACTTTTGTCACCTTTTGGCGCGTTAATGATGTCAACTAATGACTAAGTATGGATATACCTCTCGCAGGGCGACTCTCTGATGGGGGGAGAATTTAATTATATTTGTTCACTAATCTGAATTTTCGAACAACAAACAGATGCCCAACTCATTCATCGGTTTATAAAAATTAATTAAAGGTTGAATCAATCTGACCGATCTTGACATTTTCGCGTTTCGAAAATTGTATTATTTTAATCAAGCCAAAATGATCCCAGATTTTTTTTAAAGCATGAACATCATGGCAGCTGCAAATAATTAAAAACGGGGTTCAGGCACCAAAAAAATAAATAGATAAATAATAATAATAATAAATGAAATTTTTAAAAAAAGAAACGAAGAAATGAAATAAAATACAGAGCACGGAAAACCAAAAATCAGTTATACAACAATCACTCTAAAAAATTGGAAATCAAAAGTGGAATACTGATTGTAAAGTATGAATTATTCGGCCAATGATGAGTGTCATTTTCGATTTAAAAAAAATATACTATTTGAAGCATAGTTAACAAAAATAAACAACTTAAAAAAGAAATCAACAGTCACTACAACATACCTTTCTCAATCTAAGATACAATAAATAAAAAATTTAAACATATTCTACTACTTATTTTTTCATAAATCTTAAATTTTTAAGAAAAGGATGTCAACTAAAACATAGTAAACAAGAGAGGAAAAAAAATAAAAATTTCCCCCAAGAAAACAATAATTGCTGTAGACATTTTTACAATTTAAACTGGAACATTGACTTTTGTAAAACAGATGCCGACTCAAAAATAAAAAATAAAAACAGTTTTTTTTTCCAAAAAAGTCAGCAACAATCACCGGTTATATAATTTTTCGCAATCTGAAATTATTGAACCTTCCTTACATCTGAATCATCAAAAAACAAATGCCGATTGAATTTCAAGAGACTTATCAAGAAAATAAACAAACAATCGGTGTGAATCAGTGCAATTTGAAGTGCAATAATATAATTTTAAAAACACGTTGATCATAATGATAAAATACCATTTATTTTATTGTTATCCTGAATTTTTGAGAAACGTATGGATATTGTTGCACAGAACACAAAAATTAAATATTGAAAGGAAAAAAAAAAGAGAGAAATGATTACTGTTAGGAAATAAATCGAAAAAATTTAAGATTTTCTAAAACGATTTTGTACATTACTAATGTTATATAACCGTTCGATTTTTCAACATCAATAGCACAGGCTTGGTTGATAGAATTTCAAATAATGCTTTCATAAGTTATTTTAATAAATTATAGACATATATGTATGATATTAGATTGATTAGAAAGTCATTGCGGTTTTTCAGCGTAAGATAAAACTCCTTTTTTTTTCTACACAAAAACTGAATATTTAATCAGTCAAATATCTTTCATTTTGTTCGATGACCTTTTGCAATCATGATCCCAGAGCCTCGATGACTCAGGGGATAGAGCGGTCGCCTTCCAATGAGGTGAACAGAGTTCGAATCCCAGCGATGGATGGTCGATACAAATCCGCATCCGGCTTGTACCGACCACAGTGCTGACGTGAAATATCCTGTGGTAGACGGATCATGAGTTAGAGTCCCTTTGCCGTCAGGCTGACCGTGGGAGGTTCTCGTAGTCTTCCTCACCATGTAATGCAAATGCGAGTTAGTTCCATCGAAAAATCCTCCACGAAGGCAAATTTCTCCCAATACTTGATCCAGGAGTTCCCTTGTCTTCTGGATTGGTTTAAAACTAAAGAGGCTACTGAGTTGAACATTAGTAGTCGTAAACCCAAAAATTGGGTCTGCTGTTCAACGACGGTTATATATTATATAATCATAATCCTACAATCACAGAACTTCGAATCCTTATCAGCAAAAAACTCAAGTAAGTGCCATTTTAGGTCACCTTAGTTGTTAAAATTTTTATTATTGTTTTGTAAAGGATAAGCCGATGGTGCAAGATCGGAGCTGTCTGAAGGAACACAAATCTGAAAGGAATTGTGTTTCCACCACGATAATGTGAGCCCTCACACATCTTTAGCAACACGTTATGAAATTATTGGAGCTTGGTTGGGAAGTTATGTTTGTTCCGATCTAGTATTATCGGATTATAATTCATTTCAAAGTTTACGAAACTCCTTTAGATGGTGAGAATTTCGGTGATAAATCTGAAATGAAATCATATTTATTCGAATTTTTGGTGACAAGGGAAGCTTTATGACCGCGAGATCATGAAATTACCAGAAAGCTGGCAAAAGATCAGCGGACAGAACGGATGATTACTGATTAAAATTCTTTCATTGTAAAGAAAAAAATTGAGTTTTATTTTACATTGAAAAACTGAAATTAGTTCCATGCCAACACAATAATAAAACATGAATCGGTGATAAATATTTAAAGGCCAACAATAATTTGGTATAACTTCGGTGAGATGGTTCTTTTAAGGAACATTGAGAGTTGACTGTTTCCCTTTGTTGAGTATTTAATAAGCAACTTCGGTGACAAAACTAAATATTCTTTTATGAGGAAAAAGTAAGAGCTTTTTCAGTAACAAAATTTTTTCACTTCTATGATATCATCTCATCCCCCCCTTCCTTTTGCTCCCCCCGACAATAAAAATTTCTCATTTCCAAATTCCATTCAAATAAAAAATATATTTATATATAATTCCATAGAAACATCAGAGCCTCCGATGTTATTTCTTGGAAAGAAAATACCATTCCAAACTGGAACTTCCTCCAACGGAATATATCCGAAAACAAAATTTCTATGAAAACAGTCGCAGAACCAGGGAGTTCTTCCCCCATTATCCCCCGTAACTACCCCATTCCGTGGACCACGGTTGAGATCTTTATCCTCCTTCTATGTCCATTGAAGGAGATAGAATTTCATATTTCGCAACCATCCCACCCCCGCACTGACCATAGGTACATCAACAGTGGCTATTCGCAACACATTGGACAATGTACACCAGACACACGGGAGCCCAAGATCTTGTGTGTAATAAACGGTAGTCTATGGGCGATGTGGGTAACTTTGGCGACGGCCAGGCGGTGACGGGCAATCCCCCACCCCCGGCACTGCCCTAACGCCACTGCCCACTTTAGTGGCTCGCAGAGGTTCTCTTCCTTCCTATTCTGCTCCTCATCCTCTTTACGTTGTTCCTTTTGGAACATTTTTCCCCATCCCCATCTTTTTTAGCTTTTTTTTTTTCTTTCTTATAGGTGATCGTTTCGATGCACCACTTTTTTTTTCTTCTTCTTTGTTTTGGAATGTTTGTTTTTCTTTTTTTCCTTTCAGTGTTCGGTTTACCGCTCCTTTCGAACATTTTTTTGTTCTTTTTGTCTCTCCCAAAGAAGTGTTATCATCGGTCGAAGAATTTCGAAATAATAAGTGATTGTTACTAGTAAATAAGTTATCGCAAGCAAGTAAATAAATCGGATAAAGAGTTATTTTAGAAAGTGCCAGG